ATCATTCTTTTCTAAAACAGATCAGACGTTAAGCAGCTCCTACCACAATTAAAGACAGCAAGTAAAGGTCAGGCTTCAGTGTAAGTAGGTAAAAAGCAGGCTAGGGAAAGCTTGGAAAGTGGGGAAAAATAAACTCCTAATTAGTTGGGCTTGATGAACCTATCCGATCTGATTGGAGCAGTCATTTCTAAGAACCACAGAAAAGAAAGAGACTGTAGAAAAGAACAGATGGTGGGGCTTTTGTTTGTTCATTGTTTTTCAAACATTTGAAAAAACAGAGTGAGCAAGCTAGTTTGTAATGTACCTGCTCCATTAAAAACAAACAAACAAACGAAAAAACCAACAACAACCACCCCACAACCCCAATCCAATCAGGACACTCTGAAAGCACCTCAAAAGGTGACTAGTGGCAGTTACAGTGTTCGACAAGACTTGACAAATTAACATAATTTCTTCTTACAACAGGATAACAAGCCATCTGGCAATGGGAGAAGTACCAGATGTATTTTGACCATGACAAGGATGTTGACGTTGTCACAGATGATGCCAGTCTCAGGTCTCAGCTAGGGATTTTTGGACACTGCTTCGCCTCCCTCCCAAACTCTGGAAGCAATAGAGAGCCCAGAGAGGGATGTAATTTCTAGGATGTTGTTCAGGAGGAAGGACTGAAGGATGGCTTTCCCTAGTAAAGAAAAGGCTGAAATGGAATACGATAAATGTGTCTGTAAACATGGGAGAGCTGATGTGTTTTTACTGTAGGGGTATCACTGTTAAAACAAAAATAAGTAAACATGTCGGTGGTGCCTCCTACCACAGAAACAGAGCTGTTTGATGAAAGCAGATTGATCTATGGGATCAATCCATCCTAAGAAGTCCCGAACCAAATTCCTGGGCATCCTGCCAGCAATAGAAAGAAACAGACTTCAGAGAAACTGGTAAAGAAAAAGACCTATGAAACACATCAGCATTTGCTAAGAAGAGCAGATTTGAGTCGAGAGTGACACAGTGCCTATACATGTAGAGGGCAAGAAGAGAACACATTTTGTTGCCCCTTGGTGTGGCAACCACATCGGTGCAAACACCCTGAACAACATCAGATGATGTCTACAGAACATCTCTTGACATTGTCCACACTATGAAATTACATTTTCGTACTATAGAGGCCTTTACATACTGCTTTTTGTCAGAGATCTACCTTCAGTAATATCTGTTGGGGGACACGTAAGCCAGACCCCTCTGTTTGGCTCACACGCAGCCAGATAGGAATAGCAGTGTCCATCCTTCTTCCTTCAAAGCTCTAAAAGTCTGAAGAGGTTTTAAAGGTAAAGGGAGAAAAAAAAAAAACATCTAAAAAGCATCTATGAAAATATTTACAGGTAAAAGAGAATCTTTCCTTTTAGTATCTACAAACATATAATGCACAACCCCAGATATCCTGTAAGAGATTCAGAATCCCTAATACATAAATAAATGGTCTAAGGTACATTTTTCTCCTAAATATACTATTCAGATCTTAGCATAACTCTGGAAAGAGTTTCACATGGCAACTCTGCAAGCCTGAATGAATATATTCTGTAGAGTCCTCCAACTTGCTAAAGATATCATAGGTGGTGGCCACATGCTATGATGCCCTCAATATTCCTTTCGCAGTCAGTTATCCAATGTGATATTATTGTAGACAGTATCTGTTCTTTAGATCTTCTAGCTATAGATAACATCAGAACAGGTATCTCTTAGCGGTCTGGATCTATAAAAACAGCAGAATTTGCTTAACCACAGGAGGGCACCCATGATAAAAAAAATCCCCTCACTTCTGCTGGGTCTAAATTGGCTAAGGGACAATCAAAAATCCTAACCCCATTAACAGTTAGAAGCAGAAAATTTCTAGCTATTGGAGGGAAAAGCAGTTTCCCTGTGATAAGACAAGACTGTTCCCTTGCTTGCAAACGTCTGTCTAATAAGTGGGTAAAATAGGGTGTCTCTGCTCCAGTCCCAGGAGCCAGCCATCAGGTAGCTGCATCCCAAATGAGAAGCAACCAGGGCCTTGGCGATGAAGATTTTCACTACTAAGAAGTGAGCAGTAGGAATAATTTCAGGTGTTCTTCAGTGAGAAAAGTAGGCATTTTGATGACAACTACCGTGGCTGATGGAAACACCATTATCAGCTCTGCCTTAAACATTTCAGATGGCACTTGCATAAGCAGGAGACGCATATTTGTTTCTCTAAGAGTTAAGAGTGCATCTGACCAGTGAATACCCTGCCCCTAGAAATAGCCTATAAGTGATAATCCAGCACTTCCAGGAACAAAGCACTCAAAATAGCTTAACAACACTGGGCAGTATATGTGATGTCTTTGACTTACCTAGACTGCTGGCAGATACACTTGATGTTTGATCCAGCTGCTTCCTAGCACGACTACCTCTCCATCACACATGGGAAAATCTTGTGCCCCTCCAACTGTTGATAGCATTTAGATGTCATTTTTTTCTGCCTCATAACAGAAAAAACAAACACCTCTTTTAATCTGGAAGGTAGAAAAGTAAAAAGGCTTCATAAAATTTTATTGCCTAATCCTGTCTGCCATAAAAAGTAGGTTAGGAACTTTTGAATTATTCACATGCTTTACAGAACTGTGAGGGGAATGAATAGTCCTATTCTTTCTCTCTGCAGAGAGGTTCTTAAATCTCCATCTGTAGAGATATTCAAAACTTGACTGGACATGGTCCTGAGCAACCTGCTCAGGCTGATCCTACTTAAGCGGGGGGTGGGGGCAGACTATATTATCTCCGAGGCCTCTTCCGACCTAAGCAATTCTGTGGTTCTGTGAAACAGATGGGTAAATCCATCCTACTCACATAACTCTGTATATCTGGTCTCCATACTATCAGAAGAAAAAGCTTTTGTCTAAGGCACCAAATAGGCTCCCTAGGGAAGTGGTCACAGCACTAAGCCTGTTGGAGTTCAAGCATTTAGACAACGCGCTCAGACATATGGTCTGATTTTTGAGTGGTCCTGTGTAGGGTCAGGAGTTGGACTCAATGATCCTTGTGGGTTGCTTCCAACTCAGGATATTCTGTGATTCTATGGAAGAAAACTATCGACTAACAGATCACAGAAGATACTGGATTTCTAACAGCATTGAGATATTTAACTCAAGTTTGGTTTGCTCATTTTCACTTATGATCAGGAAAAAGCCTGTTACATACTTGCAAGGACTCTCTGGCATTAGTTTAGAATATCTAAAGCTATAAAACCTTACGTACCCTTAGCTCACAGCGAAAGATATACTGGATAAAGTCTCATGCTGCATGCACTGTGGTAATCTACCTAGTTATATTAAGAGGTGGCTAATGAGAGACAGGATCTTTTCCCTTGTCACACTGCTACATGCAGATCTTAATATTACTGTTGTAACACTGCCTACAAAATAAATAGCCTGTGCAGCTTGGCTTATAAGTATTCCCATCTGGGCTCTATACTGACACTCACTGGCCACATGAATATTTGTTAGCTAGGCAGCCTCACTGAAAGCTCCACACAGGCATGTTTGTAAGACGGGCCTTACAGCTTTTAATTTCACTGCATTGCTAGAAATTATTATGGTGCCTGTTGCTACTGTGTAAACAGATACTTCCTCACCTCCCTACCCAAAGATGGGCTAATAAGCCCATGGGGAAAAGGAAAAAGGAAGTTAAAAGGCAGCGATAGAAGCTATTATAAAAAACAACAACAAAAAAACTTCATTCTCTTAAGTAAATAAATAAAAATCCTTACCCGTACTCTTGATGCTGAATCAGATGCAGAATTTATTTACATCTACTGCCATACCACCTCTAAGGGTTGGACACAGTGCTTAGGGACATGGTTTAGTGGGTGACATTGGTAGTAGGACGATGGCTGGACCTGATGATCTTGAAGGTCTTTTCCAACCTTAACGATTCTACGATACCCAGCCACCGTTGTAAAAGCATCAAAAGAAGTACATTCACACAAAAGAAAGAATGAGCATACACCATATGATTCTGCCCACACCAACTGCAAGAAATTACAGGAACATTCGCATTGCTGTGCTGGATAATTAATCTTAAAGTAACAATCACATTCAAATGTTCCAAGAACAGGCTGGCCACAGTTCCTGGTTACTCCCTGGAGAACTCCTTTGTACGAGTTAAGATAGCATTAAAATATCATTTTCAAGAAAATCCAGGTCACTTTGCAATACAGTAGCTACAAAACATTTATTTTTTTAAATAAAAAACATTTAAATCATCAGGTCTTGTAAAACAGCATGTCAAGTGTTCATCTTTGTTGTGTGAGCACCTTCAGTTTTATGCTAAAACAATCAACACAGTTTATTATTTGGTCAGACTATTAACCTACGTTGAAATAAATACACCTTTAACCAAGACAGATCACTTAATGCACACCAGATCACAAAAAGTTTCTCTGGTGACAAGTGAAACAGAGATGCTAAACTATGATTGCAGGGTTTTTTCTCTTTTTTAATTTCAGTGAAGACTGGCCTATGAAACTATGAAAAACAATGATAGCTTAAAAAGGCTATATAACAAAAGAAACACATTTGAGACGGCTTACCTAAACGCTCTCAGAATGAAAGGTGGAATACATATTTCTAAATTAGTTATAAGATGCCGGGCAGATCATAACATATGACCCATTCTCATGCAAAACTATCCACAGAACAGAAATAGAAATTTTTGCTTAATAACAAAAGAGATAAGCCACTGATAAGTGAAAATAATGGAATCCACAAAGGGCATTTTATGCCGATACTACTGATTACAAGATGTAGGGTGTAAAATTCCACAAAGTGATATAAACCTTTTAAAGTAGAGAACAAAAGTTTGCAGGTCAAAATTACTTCAGCACCTGAGATTTTCCTGTAGAAAGGCAGACCTTGATACTTCCTTCAGAAACATGTAATACAATCAACTCCTTTTCTCTCAGTGTTGCATCAGAATAATTGATCAAGAAAGAGTTGAAATACACAGTGTTCCACATTTCTAATTATGCCCTGAAGATAAATCTGCTAGCAAACCATATTTAAGATTTGATCCATGTGCATGACATAATTGACTGCTTTATGAAAACATTTTGTATTATAATTGGAATAGATTTCATCTACTAAGTAGTCTGATGAAACTGAGTTTAAAGAAAAGTCAAAGAACAGCATGCAACTTGAATCATGTTGACAATGAACTAAGATTACTGAAATAAAAACATGTTTGAACAGAATGTAATAACTTAACCTGCTATGCATGAATCTAGCTTTACGGACAACTAGTGGTTACGTCTTCACTTTTGGTAAAAATAATACTTTAAGGAAATCCTTTTCTATTCTCACTTTGAGACCTGGGAAGTTACAAGTCTGTGTTCTGCTCTGCATGATTAAGAATTCATGATTTTGTACGTGCAATTTTATCTGTCATTCTCAAGGTAACCAGCAAACTGCATACCAGTCTTCGAATAGAAACTTCCTTTTTCGATTCCTTGGCTTTGAAACTTTTCAGTAATTGTGTATTCTACTTAACAACTGAACTCCCAGACCCCACGGGAAAGAAGAACATATAAAACAAAGGCCTTAGCAAAACACTGTTCTGCGGAGAACGTGGTAGTTTTATTCTAACATGATCTAACTTTATTTATGAAAACTATTTATCAAATGATATGCAAAAATAAGATTTCAAATACTGGAATATGAGGGCTATTCCTTTAATTCTAGAAGGAATGCATTCATGAGTCAAAGTAGACCATACACTTGGTTTTACTTATTCATTTAGTGAAACTGGATTTTTTTTTTATATATATATATTTTTTTTAAAATCAAGTTTAAATGTCCCTCCCACCACAACTAACAACCTGGAACTTTCTGGAACCTTTCTATCCCTGAAAAACAGTTAAGAACATCTCTTTCTGCCCTTTAATTCTTAAATATGAATACCTGGGCAATCAGTAGTAACTTGAGGTAATATTTTTTTTTCAGTTTAATTTAATTTGTTTTTGCTGCTCTAAAATCTGAGTGCAGTAAAATGCAGTTATATCACTTAAAAGCAAAAACAGTCGTCCTTAACCCCATCAACTTTTCCCAATACAAGGTGCAGCAGAATTTTAAAAAAAATGAGGGGAGGGAGAGAGGCAGAAAGGGGTGCACAACCCCCTCCATCACAAACAAAAAAAATCCCAAACCAAGAATATTTTTTTTCAGTGCAAACACTGCAATCTTCAAAACGTTAAGAGTACAAATATTTACATTCCAGTGTATCCTTACCTACCAGGAATGTTGTTTCACATTAGAAAGTATGTCAAATACCTTTAATCCAATCAAAATGCTAAACGTTTACCCTCTCAAATTGATACGGTGGCTGAAACCGAAGTGTTTATACAATCAGTACAACTTTCTGGAGAAACTAATGCACACAGTTGAAAGTTCTCTCAAAAACCAAGGACAAAGACTGCAAATGCAGCTGCTGGTCCTTAACCAATTCCAGTATAACAGGCTAAAAATAAATGAGGCATTTAATAGAGTGAACTTCTACACTGGCATCTTAATCCCTACCCCCTTCCCAAATTCTACAGGACCTAGAGGCTAGCTGCAGATAATCCCCATTTATGTGAAACGCTTTTTCACTGAATATAATGTTATTTTACATTGTTCAGTTTTTCAATGTGCAAATGTTGAATTTCTAATAAAAAATTCTAAAAGGAAGGAAAATGTATGTGACACTGCAAAAGGAGGTGGATACATTATTTTAATCGTTCAAAATATGCTCAGCAACTTCATCTAGAAAACTATTTTGCAGCATTGTGCTTGTAGAATTACTAGTTGGGATTCCAAGAAATATGTGAAAAAGGCACCTATTATCGTTTCTTAATTAGCTGCCCATTTTAATAATTTTGGTACTACTTGTCACAGTACATCAGAAAACAGCAGCACAAAGCATTAGACGGACAAGAATTTTATATTTGTTCTCCTTTAAAAAGCAAACATTTTAAAAAGGCACTTAAGACAGAAACTCTCTTTCCAGTTCATATATAGATGGCCGGCAAGGTTTGCTCTTCATTCTACATAAAGGTACAGTACAGTCTCTGTTTTGACCTTCCACATCAATATCAAGTAATGAAGGCATATGGCAGTTAGTTCTTTCCTCAGTATCTGGCAAGAAGTTAACATCTGGATCTGTATTGCCTTCTGAACATTCAGGGTCTTTAGAGTTCGGTTTATTAACACGTGGAATAATCTGCCATGAATCAATTTTACTTCTTACAGAAGAAGGTCGAGGCCTTGGTATAATATTGATAGCTCTTTGTTTTTCTATTGAAATACCACTGTGATTGCTTCTTTGTTGAAGAGACGGGGAATGTAGAGTTCCAGTAACTGACAGAATGGGCAACTTGGAGACGTCATTGGTTGAAGTAAATCCATTAGCTAGCGGAACGGAAAGGCCAAACACACAAACAAAAGAAAGAATGTAAACCATGTGTCTCCTTGATTTCTTTGACATTTGTAAAACTGGGTTACCATAAGCATTATTGTGTTTTTTTCCCACCCATCAAAAAAAGATTAAGAGTCTCATATACATTTGTGGTGAATCTCTTGAAAAGATCAGCGTTACTCAATTAACACTTCCATCTATACTTTCTGCTACAGGTCATACCAATTTATATTTATTTCACTGTTACAAAAGAAAGAGAAAGTATTAAACATCCACTAATTGGATGAATATTAATAGTGGAATACAGCTCCCCAGATTTGTCAACTTATTACGAATAATTACATACGCATAGAGTACCATAAAGAATATTACACTTAAGCCACTATAGAATATGACTATTGAAATTCAGAACTTCTGTTATTTTCAAAAAGTCATTAATCATGAACATATCCAGTGACATAGTAAGCAAATTTAAAGACTTTTTTCCCCCACTTCTATTTGCATTAACATCTTAAGGATTTGTGAAGTATGTAATAGAATTCCTGAATCAAACAAGCAACTCAGAACTCACCAGATTTGCTTTTCTTGAAGTTAAAAATGTGCAGTATTAAAACGAGGAGAATTCCCTCACTTATACAGACTGTGAAACAAGTATGTTTCTCAGTCTCATGAAGTCCCCAAACCACATAATGCATGCAGCTCACAACGTAACTTCAGTTTATTTCACCATTGTGAAATAACGTCAGCATTGTACATTTCACAAAGAACAGGTTACCACTGACATAAAAAAAACTAGTGAAACCTATTTTTGCAATACTTGAGAAAAACAAAGCATCTTTTCCGGTGAAACCTTCACAATACCAACAATGTAATAGGATCCTATTCCAAGGCAGGTAGCTTAACGCGGGGTTCAGACACTGAGGACTTACCCACATACAGTTATGATTGGTGAGCTAACACTTGACAGTGTAATAAAGATCTAGTGACTCATTACTGAACGGTTAGTTTCCGTACGTTTTCTGTTTCTATACTTAACAATTCCCCACATTTGAAATTCTCAATTACCCACCTGTGGTCTGAAAATTGTTCCCATCTGATAAGGTTCGTCTGTGACCCAACACACGTAACTTTGTTGAGGAATCATTTGGCGCATTTTCAGATTCTTGTTGCAGACACAGATTGAAAGGCCGATTTTTTAATCGTGTAGAAACTGTGTTAGGAGCCAGCTGTATTCTCTGTTCTCTCTTACTTTCGTAAGTTTCAGATGAAAAGTCATCATTAGAACTCCGTGGATTGCAATCACCAAGCACATTGCTTATAAATGCATCTTCACTGTCAGACTGAAGTAGGCATTTTGTGGAAATGGAGGGCATAGAGAGAAGATTCACAGTATTTACAGCTGGATTTAAGGATGGAATACTTGTTTCCTCTTTCTTGGACTGCAGTCTTGTAGGGCTGGCACTCCTGCGAAATTTTGAAGCACGCTGAAATAGTCCATCGCGTTTCTTCTTCTCATCTTTAGGCAAGAGCTCATCTGGACCCTGCGATTTGTTCAACTCTCTAATATCCAAGCCCAGGGCAACAGATGCAAGGAGGACTGCACACCCATAAAGCACCGAATCAGTCTTCTTTTTCTGCGTCGTTCTGCTCAGACTGTTTGTAGGTGTCATTTGAGGAGTACTATTTGTAGAACTAGCAGAGGTTCCTTCTTCAAAGCTCTCGTGCTCTGCTGTGTTCTCTACTTGATCATCCTTCCAAAGAGGTAGATTAATATAGGCCTGATTTGGCAACTTAATTGGCTTTGGTCTTTTACTGTCCAAACCTTCAGGAAGATGTCTCTTATCTGTACATACACCTAAAAACGTTACAATATACTTTAAGAATACAGTTCAGCTGCTATACATGCCTGCATATGTACCCTAGGATTTTCTATTACTTGTAAGTATTAATCTTGAGATACACCGTATACGCCCTTTAGATGTGGTCAGAAGTTCAGAGACTCACATTGTAACATTCAGAAACACACCCTTAGCCTAACCTTTTCAAGTTCTCTGGATAGTCTTTAAAATAGCAGAAGAACCATTTCACTATAATGTCATACTTTTAGCAACTCAAAAGCAAACCCTAGTAGAAGAAACTTGCAACCAATCTTCCTGAGTACATAAGCTAATTGTGAAGAAATTGTGTTTTCTAGAATCGAAAGACAGTTTTATTTTTAGAAAGGCAAAATATATCTTCCAAAAGTTACAACACAGTTGAAAAGCAGATACTGTGTTTGCACAGCTTTGGTAGTGCTTTTCAAGTATTCCTGCGTATATATTACAGTAAAGTGATTTAATATACACAAACTGACAGATGAGATCTGCAACCGTTTCTTTACAACATTTTCAATTGAGCTGTGTTACAAGATCCACTGAATTTTTCCAATTAATTCATTAGGTCATGGTGATCTGAAGAGCAAATTTGACATTTCACATCTAAAGACAAATAAAAAGAAAGGTGCAATTGACTTGCATGTGTTATTTCACTGCAAACTACTGAACAGTAGAGAATAAACACAGAAACATTTGAAATGCAAATATGTCAACTTGTATAACCTTCTCTGTGTGTAGGGGTTTAACAGTAAGCTAATAAAACTTTAAAATTGCTATTTGCGATGCTGTGTTTTATACCCCTACCAGTATACAGGAAGATGAAAATGCCTTCTTCCTAGGGAGAAAAGCAGTGTCCAAGCAGCTTGCCATTTCCACTTCCATCTGGTGCAAATCTACCAGCTGCTGAGGACACCAAGTTATACTAGTTTATTGGGTTTTTCCCCCCACAATAGTGGAAACTTAATTTTCTCAGTTAAGAGAACCTGTAGTATAGATTATATGTGCAAATATGAAAATGATTATGAATATTGTATAGGTATAGCACACTATAGGAACGGACATAAAAAGCAACATTTTGCTTATATTAAATGCTATTATGTCCCTGATTTTCCCTTGTGATTTCTCCTGTAAATCCCAAAATGTTGCCAAAATGACTGAGATTTAAAATCCACATAATTTTTCATGAAAATTTAGAGAATAACCAGCATTAGAAAAAAAAAGTTAACAAATATCTGGAAATATATTAGGGCTTACAGTTTTTAATTTACTGCATTTGTTCCCTGCCTATGCAGAGGCCCCCAACAACAACAAAAAAATCATTAATGATTATTTAAATGTCAAGACAGTTACTGCTTTAGGTATTTCTTTACAAAAAAAGCTACAAAGCAGTGCACATACCTAACACACAAATCAGCCTCCTGACTCAAAATCTTGGAAAAAAATCTGCGTGATATGTCAGATCTCACAAACCTGTATCTATTTGTTGGCTGCTAATGATGGAAAGGTAAATATTATACCATTTAGTGTTGTTATAGATGGGTTTCTTTTTTGTTGTTTATTTATTTGCACAGGAATAGTATCTGTAGCATGACAACTCTTAATAATCTGTGTAATTCTTGAGGAACTTGAACAATGGCTCTATACCACTGAAGACAGACTTCACACCATCATATGGCAACTTCCACTTTTTCAGAAATAGCTCTTACCTTGGTCCACAAATAGTGAAGCTAAAGGAACACCCTTCTGATTTTTCATTACAAGGGTTGACCAAGGGTTGCTGCCATCTGAAAGGGGTCTTATTCTGAAATAACGACAGTTATTTTGATACTACAGAAGATATCATGCTAATATATGCACTTTGACAGAAAAGCGCTACAATATCTCTCTTTAAACTACAAACATGTAGTACACAACTTGAAAACAGTAAAGATTCCTAAAGTTTAAAAAAAAAAAGGAAAAAAGTAATAAATAGCATAGTCATATGACTCAGGATCAGGAATTTATTTTAACATGAAAATTTCAGCACGTAATAGCCTAAAAAGAAAAATAATGAAAAATAGGCCTTGGCTACCTAACGAAGAACAAAAGCTGGTGAAAACTGGGACATGTTCACTGTCTCAAACTGACACAAATATCAGAAATTTATTATACATAATGATTTTCAAAGAAACAAAAATATCATAAAGCCAGTTTCAATAGATGGTCTGGAACTAACCAGGTTAGCAACCAGGTAAATGAGCATATGACTCCACAAAAAAGATGCATTAAAGTAATTATACATGCTAGAAGCAAAGGGATCTCTCTCATTAGAAAACAGCTAACCTCCTGTTTTCAACAATGAGAGAAAATTAAGTAAACACGTTCAACTGATTTTTAGAACTCTTTCACCCTATATTTGTCAGTGTGAATGCTTGTGTGCACTGTGCCTCACGTACACAAAGTCACTCTTACTTAATTGTACTGGAGGAGCCCACTGGGTGCTATGCTTGCAGTTCCTCAAGCCAGTCTGAGGAAGGGCGAGAAAGACAGAGAAGCCATAAATGTCTTGTATGCATTAGTAGTTCAGCATCCCAGTATGTTCTAAGTCTCAAAAACTGCAGATAAAGGGTTATACATAAGAGCCACAAAAACATTAAGACAAGTAAACCTTTTATCCTCAAATCTACTTGGGAGAGCTACTCATCGCTCATGTAGTTCCTAAATTAAAAAATAGGTAGGACTGAGTTTTAGCTACAACTATAGAGTGCAGAACTTGCTCACTACCTACATTAGTGATTCAGTTTCCAAGGACACTTAGTATTATCAAACAAAATGTAGTAGACATACTTGTCCTTACAATCTGCACGATCCTTTGTTTGAACTGAACTTGGTCCCCATGTACAACCTTTCTTTTTAAAATTTCTCTTCACATCTTCAAACTCTTCTTGGTGATAAGTTGTGCTCCTTCCCCAGGTTCTGTTACTTTCATCTGAAGTTACTAGAGATTGGATTAAAAAATACAATAAAACTAGACTCTACAAAAAAAAACAACAAAAACAAGTAGTTTTATGAAAAATATTTTGACAGAACTCTTTACTGCAATATCATTCTGACACAGTAATATAGAAGTAAACAAAATCTGAGACTTTCTTCTTTTAAAAAAACCACCACGCAAGCTGCAACGAAGCAAAAAGATGAGCAAGCAAGAAAAGTAATTTATGAGCTCAGAAGACACCCAAATTAAAGACAAAGCCACAAGATGATCATATTTTCCATGCTTCCTTTAACTGAGAGCCTTATATTTAGGTAATTCAGACAAGTGAATTAGACTGAGCACTTAAATTCCAATGAAGAAAATATACGCTGTGAAACAACTGTTATCAAGTGAAACAGGATATTCCAATGTGAGAAAGATTAATGTTTTCTTTCTCATTAAATCCAAACAGATCATATTTTTAAAGTGTCACTTCTTCATTAAATGCTTAGTCTTTCACTTGAGGTCAGCTGTGAAATTTAACAGAACCAGCACCTTTGAAACATAATGAAATCTTGCCTTTTTTCATAACCCCACTGGGAAGTTCATATTCACTTGTGATATCTACATCTTGCTGGTACACATATACACTGTTTCTTCGGCCATTAGTTGTGTGTGTATCTGTTTTGGGAATCACTGAGGAAAAATTAAGAGAATGTAGTAGAAATCTTAGTCAAGCTGATTTCAGACAGGGATCTGTTTCCCTTCTTATATTTTTAGCTTTGGTCATAAAGTCTGGGCCTAAAAAGGCACTAATCATCTTTTGATAGAGGGTTTTTACTGTAAGGTTTACAGGGTCCTCTTTCTAGAACCAGTCCCAAGAAAGTACGTTTTTGTATGCAGCCAACTGGAGAAGTAAACTCCTATCAATGTAGCATACTTACAGCTATGATGGAGACATAAGAGAAAAACAACTTAGCTTGTTATAACAGCATAATTAACGAGGTAGTCATTTACACGCCAGGTCTTCTGCCACTCCTGCACCACTGCAGAGTATTCTCCTCCCTCACCGTACACCTTTTCACCAGCACAACTTCTTGTGTAGTACAACAGACTACTTGCCTTCTTTCAACTCCCATACTTCAACTGTAATTCTGGGGCCTATGCAATGTATATCTTCCAGGTTCTCATTCCCCATTCAAACAGCTTTCAGAAGTAGCTGAATTAGGTTTTATGGCAAGATTTACAATCAACTAGATTTTTATTTTAAAATAAAAAGCATTTAGATTTGGAAGTTAGAATCACTGATGACAAAGCAAAGCAATCAAGCAACCAATTGTTAGAAATGCCTGTTCAAATCACCTGTATTTGAGTAAGTCTTCTTGAAACAAAGACACTTTGAAGTGAAATCAAGATAAAACATTATTGTGGGAAAGAAAATTTATTTTGCACAGGTGCAGATGGGTGTGGAAGCTAAATTGTTTCACCTAGATACTCCTGATAGATCTGATAAGCTTTTAGGTAAAGCCTAGGGATTCACATTCAAAAGTAGAAGAGTGCTTCTTTTAAAGGAGAGCCTTTATGTTGTCCCATATGTTTTAGACCTACAAACACCAATGCCTGCTCAAAGAAAAAGATCTTCAGTGGCACATAGCACACATGTTAGGATTTACACTGGCACTGCTATGCACAGGCTATGAACTAAAAACAAACAAGAAACCCTTGAGTTTTGTGCCAATACCTGAAACTAGCTTCATTTCCAACTTCCATACAGAGCAAGGAGAACCAAAGATGAAACAAGACATTCTTGTTTATATATAATTATGATATTTCATAACAGAAAACCTTTTTTTCTTGCTTCAGAAAGATAAGAAAACAAAAACAAAAACCCACAAAAAAGCACGGAAAACCACCACAGCCATAACACTTTGAAGAGGTGGGAGGAACCATTATAAACACAGTTACTTGTCAGCTAACTTCTTGAAGAAAAAAAATTCACTTTCCTTCGATCTCAAATTTTCTTTAAGAAAAGCAAGATGGGGTTTGTCCGCCTTTCTATTACTCACAATATATGGGTAGTAATAGTCTTTGGCCAGAAAACTCTGAGTTACAGCTCAACAAATACTGGAGTGAGTTACTATTGTCCAAAAAGACACTATTTTACCTTTAGACAATAATTAATGAGAAAGACTGCATAAAACAGATATTGCAAACAAGAAGACAGATGTGGTTTCTACCCAAGTTTTAAACAACGTTTCAGGTTGGTTTCAAATAAAAAGGAAATTTTGATTTTTCCTCCTCCTTGATCGTCTCTGTTACAGCCCAGATTCTCAAATAATTTCCTTCAGAGGAAACTACTCTGGCAATGCCAGACAGCCACTGTCCATAAGCAATCAACTGAATTGTGTTCCACTGGTTTTACAGAGAAACTTGGAAGGTTTTTCCTTCCATTCCATTTCAAATATGGATAATCAAACAATCTACTTCACACAACAGATTAAAAAGTATAAAAGCAACTCATCTCTATGTTCCCAGAATTATTTGTGAATTTGGCATTCCCAAATATAAGTGTTGGCTTTACTATAACAATATGGCAAGTTTACTTCCAAATTCATAACTCCACTACATTAGCTTAAACAGATTCCCTTCTGGCATCAGTATACAGGGAATAATGTAAGATTCCTTCTTTATTTTATTTTGTTTTGTATTTGCTTACAGCTTGCTTCTTTTCTCCTGAGCAAGGTAAGTTACTGGTTGATTCTTTGGCCTTTCTACCTTACAAGACTGCCACGTTCTCTGAACTTTTTTCTGACAGTCCACAACTGATTTAACTTTGCAACTCTAATAAAACTAATAAAAATTTGTTTTCTATCTTACATGGGTTCTGAACATGATGTTTTCCCTTTTGCTATTACCAATTTTGATTCCTTACTGTTTTATTCACATCAGTTTACAAATGAGTTACTGAAGTTAAGATAATGAGTCAAAGTAGTCATGATAATTTTGAATTATTGAAAGTTAGTAAGCATTTTAGCAAGATTATCCCTTTCACCAACAACTTGCAAAAGTTAGAACAAGTTAAGTGACCTGCAAATCAGAAACCTGTCTGAAATCTGATCTTACCACCAGTGTTTCAATGAGTATATAAAACAAACATTCTTTATTGACAGAGTGAACAAACGGAAATATTGGAGACTTACATTGTATAGCTCGAAGACGAGGAATTATTGTGGGGCTACTTGATGGACTGGAACTGTTACTGTTTAAACTCCTCCTCTTATCCAGATTAGGGGATGCCTGCACTGTTATTTTGTGCTGGAAATCTATTAGAGAGAATTTTAAAAAAAGTGTTAATGTTCTAAGTAAAGACTCTTCAGGAGATTATACCGTTGTACTACTTCAACCAATTAAAGAATATAGTGAATTAGACTTGACTGCACAAGAGATGTTCACACTAAAAATGCTGACAAACTCTGACCCTTAATGTAACGATTTAGATCTTGAGTCAAAGTCAATCAGGTAGGATTTCACACCTTCACAGACTCTGCGATAGCTTTGCAGTAATAAAAAAAGTAGCTACATCTAACTAGACCCAAACTGATACATATCCAGATGACAAGCCATCATTCAATCTTTTTGGTTGTCACAGAGGGAAAGAAAAGCTAAACAGACATACCTCAGTATTTCATCTCAAATCAATCCATATTCAATGAACATTTCAAAGTTTAGATTCAGGTAATTCCGAGATGATCATTAGGCAAAGATGACTGACTGTGCTAATACTGATGTTAAATACACTATATGCTTGAATTATATAGACAGAGGATGGGCACTCTTCACAGCAATGAAACATTTTTTTTCTTTTTAACATGTAGTTCATTTACAACAAAAAGGTAGCATTAACAAAGATGTCACATCCATCAACAACACATCAGACAAACAAAACACCAAAATACAGAATTTGAAATATTTCTACCCAAATAAATATCGGAAAGCAGGAAAAACATTATGAAATTAAGTTTGACCATATGTTCTTCTCTAATTCCCATCAACAATACAATTAGATTGTGTGCTATTGTTATAACAGACCTGTCTTAAGTACAAGGTCATCTGAATGATTCTTGACAACAAAGACCTAAGTGGTGTTCTGAAAAAACTGTTCAGATTCTCACTTTTTTCAAATTAAATAATGAGCAAAGCCGGGGGGGTAGGGGGGGAGGGGGAAGAGCAAACATTTAGTTTGAGCTTGTGATCCAGCCTAAAGCAACATCTTAAACAAGTTTTGAAGAAGCTGACATGCTTTTCTAGGAGGCTGTAGTGTGATTTTTTTGTTATTGTTTTTATTACCATTTTTAAAATAGGTAAAATAAGCATATTCACTAGAGCTGAAACTGCTCTAAATATTCATGCACGTCTCTCTTCACCTTCCAGGTGTATGATTCGGCCCCTACTGTGACAACATGGAATTAGTTACTCACTTTGTTAGCAATAAACTGACAGACCTAGAAACGACTGAAAGGAACGCAGTTCACTGACACCAGGATACTAATACCACTCGTGAAGACTTGCCAATCACAGGCATAAGCTTGAGTTTCTCTATTGCCATCCTGTGGCAGCATTAGTAAGGTGAAAAGAACAGTCCCTGACACTAGAACAGTCTGACCTTCTACCACCTTTGCAGAAGTGGTATTTCAACAGATTTGGACCTCCTTACACTTCTTGTCTCAATGAACTACTCTTTTTCCACTAGGTATTTGCAAGTTCAAGGCAAACAGTAATATGTGATCATTTTACAAAGTTCTGTGATGTGATGAAAAGGTATTTTGCTATCAGCACAATGACAGGAAAATCTGAACATCAGATTAGCCTCAAATCTTTTGACTTTCTCTCCTGATTTGCTTTCCCTCTGGATTCAAAGGATTTCTAGCTGAATCAGGTGAAAGATACTTCTAATTGAAATAAGGACTACTCCACATAATACAGCATGTGAAAGTGGTATTTTTAAGAAAAAAATTCTTACATATCCTTTGCACTACTAGGATAGAAGAGCACAGATATTAATTAAAATAGCCTCCAATACTGAAAATTTTAACCATGGAATTGAAGCCTGCATATTTAACTTAATATATACTGTGAACTAGGAAAAAAAAACACTGCAAACCTGAAGGCAAACTAATTCTGTGCCCATCTTTAAGTTTTAACCGGCTTCTTTTGAATTTGCCCTTCCTCTTCTTTACATTGGGTTTCTCTTGATTTAACTGGAATATCATGATATTCAATTCACGCTCCAGTACATCAATCTCACGTTCTGCTAACTGTTGCTCACGGCGCTTAAGTAGTTCTTCTTGAGATTTTTGCTGAAGAGCTGCTCTCGTCAACTCCTCTTCTCGTGATCGAAGCTCCTGAAAATAAGATTTACACAAGTGAAACTAAGTAACAAGGTGAAGGCTGTATTAAATGACACGTCAAGTGTAGGAAGGTTGTACCTTCTTATTTGTTTTCATGATGCACTATATATATTTCACATGCACATATGACCTGACAGTCCTCCATTCTGCATAAGCCAAGATTCTGCATCGGGACACAAACAAGCATTATACAGATTTCCTTTCAAGTATTTAACTTGAGTCACTTTACTTAAGCTAGGTAAGCACTTGCAATGGGAACAACATAACCAACCAAGGATTATCAGCTTACAGCCTAGCAGAAAGAGTGCTCTAACTGCATCACGTCAGAGACTCTCTCATTGCACGTGGGTTGGTTCTATACACTAAACAAAAAAGAATGACCTGACAAAGACACAAGTGAATGCATTTATCTTCATTTTCCTAACCTTTCCTGTTTTTCAGCCATGTATTAGGTAAAACTTTTCTATCTGGAAAAGCAATCAGTATTATAATGAATGAAAATTAGTGTAATAGGATAAACCAAGTCATAGACAGAAGACAGCTGTTTCTTAATTAAAATCTAGCAGGTATCTGTATAACATCAAACGACTAACCACTGAATTACACCACATGGGCTCTCCAACTATTAAACCCATAAAATAGTTGTTCTTTTGCCCTCCCTCTTCCCCCAAGAGTGAGGAAGCTTATTAATTTTTAGTATAAATATATTCTCAAGGGTAAACAACTTTAAGATGGTAGGGTTACAGCTACCTTAATTTTCAACTAACAAAATTTGTTATAAATATATGTGAAATTTAAGAGACTATGACTAAAGGAGAAGCTACAATGTGCTTGATACCATATGTTTCTCACTAGAGATATTTTTTCATTTTAATGTATGATTGTGTAAATTCTGCCTGGATTGAAATCAAAATTCAATTGAAAATAAAAAAAATAGAAATTAGATTATGCTAAAAGTTCTAGATTTATAATAATCTTTTTCCTCCTACTTAAAATTCCTTCATTTGTCATTGTACAGTCTTCTATTTTAAGAGCAGACTGCCTACTTCTGGTCATCAGTATCTACCAACATCATATGCTAGCAGAGACCCTTATCTCATGCCGAGCTTTTAGTCAAATACTGAAAGCATAAGACAAATATTCTGCTCTTTCATCTCCCACTTTGCTTTGAATAAGGTAGTTTCTGAACAATATCACTTTGGTACTTTCAAGGGGAAAAAAAAAAACAACATACCAAAACTCTGTTCTTGCCTAAAAGACTACAGATGTCAAAAAGAGGTTAGCACCGAATCAAACTCTGGTTCAGCGAGAAGTATCTGTTCCTCTGAAAGACATTTTTTTCCTTTACAACTAATATATACACGTTGCTTATCACTGTTTTCAAATTTAATTTAAATGATTGACACATTTCATACAGCTTGCTAATTTTAAGTGAGCTTGTTTCAACAGAATTTTTTTTTATATACTTTTTTCTCCTCCTCTTAAATCCAATCTGCTTTACATACACAACTCGGCAAAAGGTAATTATGTCTCTTGGGAATTCAAGGGAGCCTGTCTTCATGCCAGCAAGTTTTTTTTTTTTTTTTTTTTTTTTTTTTTTTTTTTTAAAAAAAAAGGAATTTGATCACCGTTTAGAAATTACTGCAAATTCTCACTTTCCTCCTTCTCCCATCCAGTCAAAACTGGACAAATTAAAACAAGGGTTGGAAGCAGAAGGCACAGGACCTCAAATTTAGAATAAAGGTACCTCAGATTTTAAATAGAAAAGATGTTTATTGCTATGAAGCATTAGGAGATATTGTTGATAATTCATATCTTGTCTTCAAAGCCAGGTTACATAAAGCTCCAGATCACAAGGAAAAGATACTGAAAAGGTAGACAATCTGGAAAATTGAAGTGTTTCTTCATTGAGGGTTTTAGTATTTACTCTTTTCCAAATAAACTAATTAAAGATAGACTTACTGCAATTAGTTATGCAATGTTTCTACACCACTCTACAATTAAAACACCCATTATAAGGAAGCTAGGAAAGAGTTCTATATTTAAGTTGCTCAAGAATGCTCATCAAAAGAAGATTGTGATCTTCTCCTGGAGTGGGTGTCACCATCACTCATTTAGAGCAAGCCCTTGAGGAAATTCCTCCAGCTACAGAAGTTCCTCTTGCACAGGGAATAAGACTCCACACAGGGTTGTTGTTGTTTTGTTTCTTCTTTTTATTATTATAAATACTTCAGAGACGTGAGTTTCTCCCTAGTACCTGTCAGTAAAACTGATAATGTGCCAAATTAAATAAACACAAACTTTTGAAAGCCTTGTCTCAGTCAAAGTTACATGCTTTCATTCTTCAACAAGTTTACCTAATTAGGGCAGATGCCTTTGGAGATGCATTTACTTTGGCAGATGAGAAGTAAATTTCATTTTATATTTTTCCCTCTCTAATTATATGTAATTCACTTTTACACCAAAAAATATGATTCTTCTCAGAAAGCTTTGCACTAACTTATCTAATCCTCAGTTTAATTTGGTCAGTGAGGTTTCCTTCAGTAGAAAATCTCATAATCTACTAATGCCTACAGAAAATAAACAAACAAACAAAAACATCAATGGGAATGCCTGTTCTTATAACAATTACTCCCACAGAAAGAAGGAGAACATGGTTGTTTAAGCAGTTGCTGGAGGGGAAGAAAAGAGCTAGGCCCTACAACAGATTTTGGCAGTGGCTGGTGACCCCTCAGCAAGTAAGAAGGAACCTTTAGTCTCTGTAGAGGTACTATAACTCATCTGGAAAGGAAGAAAACTGACAGCTAGAGAGGCACATAGTCCAGCTGCAGCAATCCATATGCCTGTTGCAGACAGAGGGGACCACGCAGATAAACATGTCCAGGTCTGTGAAGTGAAATGCAAGAGGGAAAACCAGAGGGCAGAAGAAAATGCAGATCGGAAAGAAAGAAGATTATTGTTGAGGACACTATGAACTTAGTGGTGATCAACATATTCTGATAACCACACATACTTATATTACTGTAAGGGATCCATAAGATCAGGCCTACCATCAGGTGCTAGCCCACAAAAGCCATTTATAATGTTTAGTGAAAAGACACAAGGGAACAGACAGCTGACAGTGACTTGCAAGATGCAAGTTTTGGTTTTGATTGTATCAAAGTTTAAGTGACTAAGTCTTTCATAAAAATTCTTCTGCAAGTCCCTGAATCTCAGTTCTCTTCTTCCTCGCCTATTACTACTTCATGACAAATGATACATGCCAGACTATAATTATACTGCAAGAACACTGCAAACAAAGGACCCCTTTCTGCTAGAAGCGTTTCTAACAGTGGCTGGAAAGGACAACTGGCCTATTCCAACTGGTATCTTTATCAAGACGTCTAAAGGAAAATATAAACCTCATGGTGATTAAGAAACATGCTGAGGTAACTAAAGGAGAGGACAAACAGAACTAATTGTGAGGGCTCATTTAGCATGAACATACCATAATATGAAAACATGTAAAGAAGATCAGTAACAGGAATCTAGATAATAAACAGGAGAAACTTGATTCACTGATTCATGAGTATAAAACAGACCTAATCTTATATCTGGCAAGAAGATTTCAAGAACTACAATACTGAAAGATCAATAATTTAAAGTTTGTTCAGGAAGAAGAAGAGAAAAGTACTTTTCCCTTTTTGGAAAGGAAGCCACATGATACAGTCATGTAACAGGATGAAAAGCTTTTCATTCCAATAACTGAAGAGAATGCTCACTAGCAGCTGCTAAAAGCAAAACATGAAGACTAACAGATTCAGAAGCTACACCCCAGAGTTTTTGAAGAGAGACAGCCAAAGGATTCTGGATCGGTGACCTTAATGTTTAATAAGATTCAGGAGAGGGAAAAATAAAAGAGGATAGATAATAGGTAAATAGGATGGTAAGCAACTATACATCTGCCAGGTTGACATCTCACATAAAAGAGTGCACTGGCTGATATATAGCTTCATTAACAATGAAAATAAAAGAACAATATAATTAAGGCCAGTCAGCATTCCTATAAGAAAACGAGATCTAAAAAGATCTAAAACTTTTTTTTTTTCTTTTTAAGTAGGATACAAGTCTAGCTAATTAAGACAATGTTTGTTAATAAAATTATTTTGCACGGCTAAGTAATTTCTTGTATTTGGTATTGCCCTAGTTTCTAAATAAAATGGAAAAAGAACAGACCGGCCAACAGATTGCCTACTATAGCTCAAAAGTATAATCATAACTAGAAAGATTACATTAAATTGAACTATTACCAGAGTGACCTCATGGGAAAAAAAAAAAAAATCTCTCCACAGTTATAGCATATTAAATTTACGGAACAAAAAAAGAAAACCATGAAAATTTGCAGTGGTTATAAAAATTAGGTAAGGAGTAAATAAACTCTGGTTTGTTTGATAGGTGATACACTCAAATATTCAGAAAAAAATAACATGGTAAAAAGCTTACATGCTACATTTACAGATCTACAAACTGTTTTCTTTGGGAAGGCAGATGTGGATATGCTGCCTCTTCAATCACTGAACTGAATGACATTATAATAACATCATGCTTTCTGTCAAACTTAACATTTCACTTCAACTTAAGTACTTCTAACAACAGCCTCAGCATTCAAGACTGTATTGTTTTTATTACAAAAGAAAGGAGAAAAGCAACCTTGCCTGAAATTTGAGAAAACCAGTAATCAAACCTTTTTTTCTTAAGTAAGCTTGCTACAAGACAGTTAAAGTTCTATCTTAAAATACTGTTCAGAAACAAATTAATGGCATTTAAGAAGAGTACATCCACCAATAAAAATAGGAAACAAAATTAAAAACCTGTTTTAATGAGAGTAAATCCTCTCCTCCATGTAGCTTATCCTCTCAAGTGTGTCTCAGCAACTAAATCAGGTTTCTAGTATTATTTTGATAAACCACAACTCAAAAGTTCAAAACTGCTGTATCATAAACATACACCCTTCCGTCACTGCCACGCAACAGGAATATAAACTTACTTTTTCCTTGGTCCTCAATTCATTGAATATCTGCTGAATTTCCAGTTTCCAGTCATCTTGCATAGAATGGAAAGACTCTTGAGGCATTTCCGTCATAACTGCCCCCTCAATGGCAGTAAGCTGTTCAAGAATCAAGGCAAACGATGGTCGGATATGAGGGTCCTGCTCCCAGCATTCTAGAATTTATTAGAATCTCATCAGTACTTAATGACTCATAGGCCTTTCTGAAGAACTAAATGAAACTTCGAGGTATTTGTTACTGTACTTCAAGTTATATAATCCATTACCATCATCTGCAAGGCTTTCCTCTTTTCATGTTCATAAGCTATATCTACATACCTGTATTCAGAGAACTGTTTTTGTTTATAGCCAGATTGTTTTTCATCTCTATCTTTAGGATCTTGAATAGCAAAACTAGCAGTACTGCATACAAGTGATACTTATCAAAAGGTAAAGAAATTCATTACACATGAGGAAATAGCCATTAGCAAGCAACATTTATTTCTCTCCTGAGTATTTCAAAAACATTTTCGACGCTCAGAAAAAAAAAAAAAGATAAAAATGCCATTTGCAGTTCTTCCCATTGAGATTTTCTCATATTTATCTATTTATGTAGTATATAATGTATTTTATGAAGACTTATGCAATTTGAGTGTAAAAAGAAATCAGTAAAAATAGAGTCATAAGCAGACAAAACGTACTCTGTCTCCACTGAAAAGCTAAGTGGTATATCGTAATACTCTATGACTTGCTCAGAAACACATTCAATTGTCTGTAACACCAGACTGCTGTGAAAAGAACAAAATACTTTGGTATGCTGTACATTATCAAATAAGGTGTTTATTTTAACTCCTATGATTATTACAGGCAAGGATACATACCCAAAAACCAAAATTATTTAAATACACAGGAAGAAACAACATAGATACCTTTCATTAGTTTTGCAAACGGTTCAGGACAGGTGGATGGAATGGGCAAAGTGAGCTTATTGACAGCAACTCCATAAGCCACAGCAAGGCCATCAATGCCACGGTAAGGAACTTCTCCTGTAAGCAGTTCCCACAGCAACACTCCGTAACTACAAAAGGTAATTTTTTAAAAACAGTTATTTTCAGAATACTGACACATTATTTACTTAAGAACAAACAAGTACCTGTCCAACCACGTACTGAAATTTATGAGGATTTCCCGTGTCAAAAGTAAACGCCTTAAAGAGTTGACTATTTCAGTCATCTCACACCTTTCCACTAATAGTGATTAGCCAAATTGGATCAACTAAGACTTGCTCACATCCTACTCATTGTCATTTCATAGCTGAAAAAAAAATATTGACATGAAAGACTCCTACTCAAAAATGTAACCTGAAGTCACTTTAATATTAATGCTTGTGTCATGTAAATCTCACCTACGATGAAAGTCTGAACCACAGGAAAACAAGCAACCCTCTCCCTGCCAAAACCAAACAGAATGAGAAAGAAAACCTTGGCAGAGCATTCAGACCATACAACTTTCCAAACCTTTCACAATTTACCTAGATGTACATTAAAAAAAAAAAAAAAAGAGAGAGAGAGACAGAAGAAAGAGAAGACAGTTTTATTTAGAAGTTTGCACTTCTAATATATTCATATACGTATGTATCGACAAGGGATTATATATAAAGGCCTGTTTAACTTTTCCAACAGATACTACAAAATTGAGAAAGGGCTACATAAACTAATTTCTTCATACTAGAAAAAAATACCACTGTCTGCAATGAAAGGTGATGGAAAGAGATCTTTTCTTAGCATCAGGTATGGAAATCAAGAATCATAGGAATTCCTATTGCAGCAACATTAACCGTAAGAATTTCTGCTATGCTCTCTACTCTAGAAGAAAGGCTGGGTGTTGCTTTTACCTTCTTTGGGTTTGTATACCCCATGCTTGTTGAACAACCCAGCCCTCTACAAAACTCTGGGACAGGACACTAGCTGATGTTGTCCTAGAGCTCCCATTCCAATACCACTGAAACTGATGACTTTTACAGTCATTTTTGTGGAAGCAGGAATTACTCCTTGTATAATGTAAGCCTAAAGTAGACTTCTCAATTTTTTTTTTCCTTCTTTTCCTGCCAGGGAACCACTATCTGTAGAACAAGGATACAAAGGACAACCTATTACTGCTTTTGAATAGCAAAGTGAGTAGGCAAAGGGAAAAATTAGAATACAAAGTATTGCTCTTGCAATATATATCTTCTCTACAGGTGTGTGAAGAAACCATCTGTAAGTTCTACAGGACTGGATCCAACTCTCCTACAGGAGGAGAAATGCACAAAGCACTGGTGAGGTAAGGGTTATGCACCCCTTAATACCCCACACCCCTTCTTTGCAGCCAAGTAAACCTTAGTACTAGAAATACAACCCCAACTGTTGTAGATGTGACAGGGAGAAGCATGCACACTAGCCAATTTTTTCTTTCACTGTCATCTTAATGAGACAGCCATTTAGCACTGTGTAAGACCTTATATCACTTGAATTAATAAAAAAGCACAGTAATCTAAATACAAACACAAACAGAACTTATGATTTTTTTACACGTATGGTAATTACATAGGAAGCCATTTGAATTAAGTACCAATGCTTTGTTTATCTAAGAAGTTTTGCCTATCATAAAATCTTGTAACTGTGAATTCATTCATTATTTTGTAACAGTTAATCAAAAGCTAAGGAATATGGTCTATTCCTAAAAAATTGAAAAGAAATAGAAAAGTCTTGGGCTTCTTAATTACTTCACCCAAATGTTTTTCAGTCTAATCTTTGCACTTCCTTGTACGCTCAAAGGATGATAAAACCAAAAAGTCCTATTTTGTTTTAAAACAGTGGTACTTTTGACAATATTGAATTTCTGCAATACATACAAGTTTTATATATGATGAAGGAATTCTACTTAACTACATCTCACCTGTGTTTTTAGACAAAGCATTAAATATGATCTTATGCCTCTCCCAGCAAGCACAGACTGTTCTTAATTCAAAGAGTTCCCTTGTTCAGACTATTCTATATGTATTTTAGCATGAATTATAAAGTTAAGCAGAACAATAATAAAACTAACTAAAAAGAAATAATATTTCATAAAAACCTGTGTCGCAACATTACCTTCAGTTATATTTACAATTTTGGCCTTTAATGCTGGGTAACTTTCAACAGTGCCAAAGAAGACCTTGTAAAATTTTAACAGACCAACACCATAACAGCCTAAAGTACCTCTTTTAATGAATGCAAAGTCTTAACCTCAAGTACCAAGAGCCAGTATAGGGTGGGGAGGAATCTTACAGATGTTCTATTCCTACTGTGGTGGAGTTTTTGGGAGGTACTATCCTATCATTATGTAGGACAACAACTGCTTATTAACTCTTTCAACTACGGATGTTGCTACTTCACGTATTAAATTTCACCTGCCCACATATAGTCATCCTATGTATACAGTCAAAGCTTCTAAGAAATATATATATTTTTTTTAAGAGCAAAAAACATCTCCTTTTACACCTTCAGGGAAAAAAAAAAAACAAACAACAAAACAGGCATGATATGTTTGCATTATACAGTAAGACCACATAACCTAATACACTTTCAATAAGATATCCTTTAAATATTTGCATTATTAAACTTTATTCTCCTGCTGTCAAATGTAATTTAAGCCTTACTATATCTCATTACAGCAATACCTTGCTGTTTTGACATATTTTAAAAGCTGATCAAAACGTAGGTAAAGTTCTCAAAGTTTATTTTACTCTACAACCCATCTTCTAAAGCAGAGGTCCCTAAGCATTACTACACAAATCCCTTGAAAATTATATGAATGCGCAAGGCAAAAGCAGCTACTAGTTCTGCTATTCAGCAAATGCTCCTCACATTGTCAAGAGCTTGTACAATGGAGGCATGAGTTATTGTGAAAATCACTGCTGAAGAACACCATCATCACTTGGAAATCTGTGAATGCCTTTGCACTTTCAGGCTACATACACAAAAACAAGACCAACATACCAAGTCTGAAAAGCATGATAAATGATGGAGAGGTGGGAGTGAAGGAGTAGAATTCTTCTTTGGGAATTTGGAACTATACACCAAAAACAATAAAAATTTATATTTTTGAGTGTTTTATTTACATGTAAGTGTATCATATTACTTACATCTAAGATATGTATTATTTTAATAATAATTGAGAAATTATTATTATAAAATTATTATCATTTTTTTTTAAGTTATAATTATGGTTTGGGAAGCAAAAGGATACACAAGCAGGGCTTGGAAAGCACCCATTCTGCTACTTAGGATGACCCCTGAGAAAATGCTGCTTGGAAGATTATGCATGAAAACACTGACATAATAATTCCCATCATTGGCTAATTCTGAGAGCCCACATGCAAGTGCAATCATGGTGAGCAGTCTCAAATGCTCATGAATTCTTCTCCCCTGCCTTTTTTTTTTTTTTTTTTTTTTTAAGAGGCATAGAGACATTTTCTGGAGACTCAGTATTTGCAACTTTTTAGAACTTTCCTAAATTATGTTGTGTTACTGCCGTAGAAAGACACAGACTTAAATTTATGATCTGAATGTGTTTTAAAATAAAAAACACTCCCATAACCAGAGCATTACAAGATTTACAATATTCATTATTTGGTTTTCTTTTGAAGAAAGAGTAAAGGTAAGCAACAGAATAGATCAAGATGCAGTAAGCAGAAAATCTTTAGAAGCCAAGGAGGACTAAACTATACTGTACAATAGAGCCTTTATACTTAAAAACCTCTCCTGTTAGAAGCCCATCATTGAACTAAATACTTACATTTTTTACAAGAGAGGCGTGCAGGAGAGAAGGCGAAGAAGAGAAATACTGTAGGTTCCAAAAATGTAAACTAATGTTGCAGCAGAATATAAAATAATTGCACCAAAGCATACCCCCTCAGATACCTAAAATCACAGCAACAAGACTGGACAGGACCTGTAATTAAGCATGGAATACAGCTGATTAGGGAAACGCCTACACCCAACCTCCACCCCACAAAAGAAAAAAAAAAAAAAAAAGAGAGAAAAAAGGAAGAAAGAATGGAAAAAAAAGAACGAAGCCAATGATGTTTCTCAACTGGTCATCAACTCAGACTGATGTAAACAACATGCTGAAAATCAGTTCAAAACAAATGGTTGTCACAAAACAGTAGTGCAGATACAGAATAATCCTGAGAATGCCAGAAACATTACTTCATATTGTAGAATACCAGGCATCTACACAAAATAGGACTCTATTTAAGAGCTATACAACACTAAGCATGAATAAAGGCATAAGAAAACAGATTGAAGTCCTCCCCTCCTTCCCTAAATAGCTACCTTAGATCCTTCGCAGAGAAACCATTTTAAAAAGAAATGTAGACTTTTCAGGGTGAGGCACTGCAGCTTTTAAAGCCTGTTGTGCAATCACAACTCTTCTCCATTCACAAAACTAAACTGAAACTGAAGTCTAAATCACCTTTCCGTGATACATGTTTCCTATGTATCACTCAGAAATAGCATCAGTATTGAGAGACATCATTTATTAATGATCCACCATAATGTCTGTAATGCGAAATTCAAAAACTTAACATAGGCAGTTCCTCATTTCCCAAATTAGACAGTAGGTTAAAATAGTTTTGTGAAAACACTCTCTTTTCACTCCAGTTACTGGAAGCAAAATCCCTATGAACATAAAAATTCAGATCCGTTTACTTTTATGCATAACCACATTCTAGATTCCTAGAAAGCAGCACTAATTTCAGTTAACTGACAAAGTTCTAGTTTGTCAGCTAGTTTTGTTTATCAGACATGACAAGGTAATAACTGGCTGGTCACATTTCTTTATGCACAATGAGACTTTTCAGACATCTGATACAGAGCAAACACTTATGAATACAAACAAATACAAACATTATGAAACTGATCATGAAGTAGTATATCAAGAGTACTTTATATTAATACTCCAGATAAATTACTTGGGTATCTTAACCAACAGGTATTTTAAAAAGCTTCTCTTAAATGAGACCTTGCTTTCTTTCCAAAATATGTTTTTCCTGCTTATTTTCCCTCTCCTTCCTCCAAATTTGTAAGTCACAAATAAATACAGGTAGATGAAATGAAGTACAGGCTGAGATATTAATATTTTTCTTAGAACAGCTATGCTTGCCATATAATGAGAAAGCAACTTAGAACAACCAAAGAAAAAGTAAATTAAAAATCCATCCAAAACCATCAACATAACTTGTACTGAACAGTCTTCAGACAAAACTTCTTACCTCCAAATATCACTTCCTTTAGAGAACAGGGAGGACTTGATAACTTCGGGAGCCATCCACGCATAAGTCCCTGCTGCACTCATTTTGGTTGTTCTGTGCCATTCTCTAGCCAGACCAAAGTCTGTAATCTTCAAAGTTTTATTGCAAATGTCATCATGTTCCATCTTCTCTAGCAACAAAACTGCAAAAGATCGAGTTTGTAGATAAGTTGCATTGGAATCAAACTAAAATATCTAGTCTTGTTATTAATTTCACATACACCTTGCACTTTGCAAATAACTGTTTAATACAAATGTTGTTAAATTACTGAAATTTTACATAAAAATAAAAAAGGTTACTGATAATTCTAGCCTACTCTGAGCAATGAAAGGGAGAAATATGGTGTCAAGAGCACTTTCTGCAATTGTGTAAGTACACATTAAGCTAGTATATGAAACCCAGTGGAAAGAGATGTAAAGCAAAGCACTTAAGTGTAAGAAAGCACAGAATGCTACCATCCTACAGATGACGACAGGCCATGAAAATGGTATTCACTTTAGAACAAGATTCTGAAGTAGTAAAAACAGGAGTAGTAGTAAAACAAAGGTGGATGTTAAGAATTGTCAACACAATAGGAAACCGTATATCACCATTAAAAATATGTCCCTAATACTATATTCAACCCTGGTTCATCATCTCAAAAAGTGTATCATAAAACTGAGATACACAGAGAAAGATGCAACTGGGGGTGCTCCGAGCAGCATGCCCTCAGTTACAAGGGACAGTTGATAGACCGGTGCTTGTGAGCAGGGGAAAGAAACAGCTGAGAGAAGAGTCTCTGATAACAGGCAGGGAATGAAGCAAGCTACAGGTAACAATTGTTCACAGCTTCTCAACACGAGACGTGGACAACATCAAACAAAATTAGCTGATAAGAATCAAACACACGCGGCAGTTGTTCACACAACACTGTAGGTGTACTTTGGAATTTTTGGCATAGCGTGTGAATACTATTATTTTACTTCGATTTAAAATGCACCTACACAAATTCACAAAAGACAACTCCATCAAGAGCAATTACATTAAAAAAAAACAACAGGAATTTAGGTTCAAGAAATCCCCAGGCCACAAATCACTAGAGGTTGGGAAATGATACCAGGGAGGTTAGCTTGCTTTGGGAATACACAACCAGCAGCAAGTCCCTGCACTTGGATCAAATCCATATTGTGTTAGATCCACTGTAACTTCACGCCTGTTCAAGGTGAATTGGCAAATTATCTTTCTTTCTGGTGCTCCCTCATACAGCTTGTGCACTCATCATCTGACCTGTTCTTAACATAAGAGCATTGGCAAAGTTGTAATAAAGCTTCTTAAAAGAGCCTTAAAAGAAAAGAATGGGCTTGCTGTGCTCGAGCTGACAAAGAGAAAGCCAACGGGTGCAAAGGAATCGTTATTAACACACTACAGTTTTAATTTCATATTCAGTGCCTCTGTCACCATCTACGGTAGTAACTCAATTTTAATTTTCTGCTAAAATGATCTCCTGGGCCAAAGATCAAAAGTTGAATTGCAAATAAGAAGAATCAGCAATGCACGTGTTTTCCAAGCATATGGAGTGCAAAGCGCAGTTCAAGGGAACCCATTAAGAAAAAGCAGATGAAAAATGACCTTGCCCTACAGAGGAAAAACCGATGAGCCTGTATTTGCAATTGCAAGAAATCGTTTTTACTGGTACAGATTAATTGCACTCTTACGAGCATTTCAAAAAATGATGTCAAATCCAGATTAAAAAAGACAGAGCCCACATTCCATTTTCAGTAAGCTTCTTAACGCAGAGTGGAAGAAACGAAGGCCAAAATGGTACAGACAAACCCCGAGCTCAAAGCCGGCACCACCAGAACAAGCTAAATTCATGCACGGGTTTTTATAACTTTTATACTTGAATGAAAGACCTATTGTTTGCTCTTCCATTTCAAACATGCTCAGCAGAATTCCTGACATTCCTTGTCAGTCAATGTGACCGAAACCAAAAACAGTCAGTCTTGCAACAGGTAATAACTGGCTGACGGCCAGGTTTCATCCTAGGAAGGGACCACGTTCCTCAGCAAGCCGCGCTTCCGTTTCCTGCAGGGTCCGGCGAGCGGCCCCACGGCGCGCGGCCTGGCAACACAGCGGAGCCGCGCTGCTTCCCACATGGCAGCCTGTGGCCCCTCGTCCTTCTGCGGCCTCACAGCCCTCACCAGCCACCCGTCTGTCCGTCCGAAGTCACTCGGGCAGCCCTGTGCTCGCCCTGCTCACACAGCCCCCACTTATCACTCCTCCAAACCCCTCAAGTTATTCTGCCAGGCTCCCGTGCACCTCCGATGCGGGGCTGGGTGACGGCCAGCTTAGCACTCCCTAGCTTAACGTTTTTCAGACTTGATGCCTTCCACAAAGAGTAAAGTTCAGGCTTATACAAGCAAAACCAGAGACCGTGAGTATTTCCGAATGATTCAAAACCTAAGAGAAGGAGACTAAGTCAAACGTGATAAGAACGCTTTGCGTCAGTCAAACTAACAAAACTTTATCTCAGATTGTTATTCAAACATCGCATGTACTACAGCAAGAAATAAACGTTTGACTAAATATTTTAAGGCCGCATATTTTTCCACCTGGTTACGCTGTTTTCAACTTGATTCTGAGTTTACCACGCCTTCTGTCCTGACTTTGCCCTTCTGCAGATAGATCAAGGAGACAAAAAATTTATTAACATCACAGTACCTGAGGTTTGAGTGCCATACACCAGGCAATGCTTGAATATTAGAGACAGCATGTGCCCAGAACTATTTACAACTGGGGAACAGAAGATGTCACTGCATGCTATTTTCAATAATTCCATGAAATATAAATCAATAGGTTGAAGATACATGCAAAAAAGTCCTTAGAGTTAGAGAGAAAAATGAAAAAATATAATCACTACATGGCTGAGTGGTATTAACATTGGAAGCTATGATATAATGGATGCCCTAAGAATTAAATAAGTTTTTGACAGTGCAGCAAGGATACACAAGGGTTCTAAAAGCATCCCTAGTAAATTTATCTTTAATCGTACAGATAAGAACTTATACTCTTGAGCTATCTAACGTTACTGAAGAAAAACTGGAAATCCAGGCATAACTCATTCTAGACCACTAAGGAAGTAGTTCACAGAATTTTAAATAGTTCAGGTTAAAATGGACCTCAAACTCCCCACTCAGAGTAGGGCTAACGTTAAAAATGTACATCTACTATCAATCCTTTTTATGACTCTGTAAAGTGATGGCAGTCTATGACAAAATAAAAGTAAAGATCTAAATTTGCTCAACAACAGATGTTAATTTGACTTAAATGACATCTTGGAATAGACTTTCAAGAACACTAGTTCAGGACAATAATTAAGAACACTGAGGAACACAGAACAGAACAAAATTACAGCAGAGTTATATTACAAACAGCTCACATCACGCTAATCCCATTTTTTTCCTGCTAAATAGTTTTTAAGAGAGGGATAAGGTAGCAGACCTGAGCAGATGCAAGTGCCTTTTAGGAAGTTTAATCATAAAGACAGGGTAAGAACTAATCAAAGAATTCTATACAATGCCATATAAAGGAAGATCTCAAAAGACAAGTTAGTTACCAGGATGAAAAGAAGTCATCACTGAGTTTATTAGAAACAAGTTTGCTTCGCGTGCCAATTAGCAATCTGAGGAAAAATACAAAGTGCATGTCAAGAATGGACAGCAAAGTCAGAAAACAGTGCCCACTCTGAGGAAGGCCACATTATCATGCTAGGAAAACACGCAAAGGTAGAAGTGATTGATACCACACTCTTCAGCTATAAAGCAGAGGTGAAGGAAGAAGAAAGGTCTGGCTATTCTAGCTAACAGAAGGAGAACCAAAACAGCAGTTGCACAGAGTTGCAGAAGTAGCTCATGCAATTCTAAGAGGTACTAAAAAAAGGCTTTTTCAGGAGAAACAGGGAAGTATCATTAGAGTTGTACAAGGCATAAGACCTCACGTGAAATACTGGATGACTAGAACTGAATATATATGTTCAACAAAAGTAACCTAAACAGGGGCAGGTGCAGAAAATAGAACAATTAGGAGCCTGTAACACCTTTAATTTAGATAAGTCAGAAGAGCTTGTCCTCTTCACTACGCTAAACTATGGCTGAGAACAGATATCAGCCATATCTACAAATAAGATGCAGGTCTAAAGCACCAGTGCTCTTATCAATACCACGCTCTCCCTGGTGCCCTGCCCAGCCCATCTTACTTGCACGCTCATGACTAAACTTGGTTTTATAACTGGAGCTACAGGGGTGGGGAGAGATTCATACCAGATTCCAAGATATTGCCTCTGTTCTTCCACCAACCCCTTCTGGCTTGCTCCTCAAAAAAAGTCACAAAATTCAACAATCTTCCTGTCAAACCTAATGGTTTCTAAAATAGCAATGCCATTGAATCTGTCCCGCTTGCTTTCTGCATTATCATAGTTACAGCTGAAGTCTCTCTACTCTAGATGACTCTACTCTCTAGAGTCATCTCTACTGATGGTGTACTGCAAATATTTTATGGTGTAGCAGTATGCAGATAAGTTGTTCTGTACTTTTTATAACTGGATCTGCAGAATTGGAAAGCACCGGCTAGCTCAGTGTTTCTCTAATTAAACCTGGACTGGCAGCACCTCCACAGAACTACTATTGTTCCCATACATCTGTCATCCGTCAGGAAAGGAACAGAATTTAGGCTTGAGTTGAGTTGAAAATCTTTCTGAGAAAAAAAACAAAACAAAAACACAAAGTGTGAGGCAGGACATAGATGCTGTGTTCCACGGAACAGAGAACTGGAAGTTGGGTGCAGGGCTCTGCTACATGCTAAAAAAAGAACAAAGAACATGAGAGGAACCAACTGGTTACACAAATGGGGAGACGGGACCCAGTTCTTTTTTTTTTTTTTTTTGAAGCACCAAATATTACTGCCATCAGATACTTCCTGGCTACAAGATTAGCTGTAAGCAGTTAAGAAATAATGGGAAAGAGCACATTTAGACAAGTCAGATTCCTGGGGTGCATGCAAACTCAGATCTAGGACAACACCCCCAGTGCTACCTCCAGTACTGAGCTGAAACTCTAAAGAGTAATTGAAATCATTTGTTTAAATCACAAGAATTTTGTTTAAAGC